GTAAATATATTATTATTTATTGATAATTTTTTTTATAAATTATAAATAAAAAGAAAACCCGCATGGTTGTGCGGGTCGAGATCTAGTTATTAATTAACGAAGAAGTGATTACTTTAGGAACAATTTATTTGAAACCACATCATAATTATTACTTGAGTCGATAAAGTCTACCATCATGTAGATCAAAATGATGAAAATCAAATTCATCGTCAATGATATTAATTGTAATCTAGTTATTAGTCATTTTTTGGGAATGCAGTTTTTAGCCGTGGTGATCTTGATGGGTTTGCTTTTGAGGACAGGATTTTGCTTGAAAAAGTTGGTCGGTCGGAGTTCAAAGCCACCAGATAAAGTAGGCATTGTCGGAAAATCTTCTTGGCTTGGGACATGGTGGAATCCGATGGTGTACCACATCACTATATCTTTATTCTCTATTTCTCTATTCCTTTCACATTCAGTTACACATAATATTAGTCCCATAAATTTTAAAATAAGTCTTAATATCTCTCCTAAATGCAAAGTACTCAAACTTTACATCAAACAAAAGAAAATTACTAAGGGTTGATTAGCAAATGCTTTAAAAGTGTCGTAAGATCTTTCTACATCCCAAATTATTTGTAAAGCACAAATGTTTTCCAATCGTGCTTTGTAAAAAAAATTTTAAGCTACAATTTTTTTGTTGACTATAGAAAACAATAAATTTAAAGAACTTATTCTTTTTGCTTTAGACAATTTATATATAAATAATTAAATATTTTTATACCTACAACTAATATTTTACAGCAAAGTTATTTACATATATACGCAGAAAATATATAGTTTTAATTCTATAGCAAAAAAATATATATAAAGATACAGATCCTTCCAATCAACCCCTAATCTCTAACGTCATAAATATGAAATTGTGTATAATTTCTTTACTAGTTCCGGTTAGACTTGTTATAAATTTATTAGGTAAGCGTGATAAAATACGATTAATTATTCAAATTCTGCATTATAAACAAACTTTGAGTAGAGATGTAAGAAATTACTACCTCTGAGACCACACGGCTAATGTATCGTCTCCGTGGCTCCTGTCGGCGTACAAACCTCCCGCCCAAACCTCTGACTTATTATACGGCGTGATCCACACGTTATAGTTGGTGAATGCAGCTCTAATTTGTGGATAATCATCCTGGACCAGAAGTGGGCCTGAAGGTGGACCAGAAAGTAAACGATAACCAACTTCATTGCCATGCTTAGTTTTGCGGTTGGGATTTACTACCACGAGCTCCTCTGCCTTCAACCCTAGTTTCACCCGAGCTTCCGCTTCGGTCTTGGCCGTCTTTGGACTCGTTGTCCAATAGCTCTTTCTCGGGGTGTTAACAGATTTTGCGGTTCTTTTTGTCACAAGTTCATTACGGACAAAAGAATTAGGTGAACCATCAATATCAAGATCAAGACGGAACGTTACGAAATGGTCATGGTTAACACCGACAGTATTGTCGGCAACAATTGTCCCGTGAATATCATCTTCTTTGATCTCGGATGTGTGGGTATATTCTACCGGTTTAACTTCTAAAACACCGGTTAAGCCCACCTACGCATATAAAAGAGGGAGCAATAGATTTAGGTCTAACTCAAACCAAAGGGAAATAAAATCAGACTATAAACAAAACCAAATCGAAATCCCAACAATTTAATGTAATATACATTTACTGGCTTAGTTAAAATTCATATTGTTTCCATTTCTAAATGATTTATGTTTTAGAAATAAAGTGTTTCGAAGAGATATTTTTTTTATATTTTCAATGAATTTTTATTAGATTATAATAGTAAGTTGTCAATTTCGGAAATATTAATTGTGTTTGTCAAATTTTAATTGAATAAAAGTTATGAAAATAGTTATTCACAAAAGATGCATTTGTAATGAAAATGAAAATTAATTTATTTTAGTTATTTTTATATTAGAAAATGAACATGTAAGATACTTTTAATATGGAAAGCCTTCCAATATATAATGCATTTATTGAATATATTATTTTATTGGAGTGTTCAATACGGATAAACTGATCCGAACCGATTCCATATAACTCAACCAAAGTTACCAAACGAACAGAAATTTGGATTCTTAGTCTTTGAGAATTTAATCATTTCATGGTATGTTGTTTATAGACACCGATCAATAGCATTTCATTATTTCATATTCAATATCTTTTAAAAAAAGAAATAAAATATTATCGAATTATATTATACTTTTAAAATTAAAAGAAAAAAATAAATAAAAATAGTAGTAGTTGCAAAAACAAAAAAAAATTAAAAATTTTTTAATAACGTCAGCAAAACACTAAACCTTAAATCCTAAACTTTTGGGTAAATTCTTAACCTTTGGATTAATTTTAAACTCTAAGATTAATCTAAATGTTTAGAGTTTACCTAAGGGTTTAGAATTTAGGATCTAGAGTTTAGGGTTTAGTGTTTTGCTGACGATATTAAAATTATATTTTAAAATGTTTTTTGTTTGCAACTACTATTTTTTTTGTTATCTTTTAGTTTTAAAAACATAATATAACTCGATAATATTTTGTTTCCTATTTTAAAAGATATTGAATATGAAATAATGAAATTTTATTGGTTGGTGAACCCAAGAAAGTTTTCATTTTAGTTTCACTTATTCTTGGGCTCACCCCCTAGAGTGAACCTCTAGGTTCACCAACCAATAGGATCGTATTATTTCATATTTGATATCTTTTAAAAAAAAAAATCTTGTTCAGTTATATTAATGTTTTTAAAATAAAAATACAAGTTATCTTTAACAACCAATAAAATGGTATTATTTCATATTTTTTTATTTTTTTATTTTAAAAACATAATATAATTTAACAAGATATGTTTTCTTTAAAAGACATCAAATATGAAATAACATTTTACTATTGGTCGGTGAACCTAGAGTTTCACCCTCAAGAATAACTCTTTTAGTTTTGAGTAATTAAGTAATTCTTGGATTCATCCTCTAGGGTGAAACTCTAGGTTCACCAACCAATAAGAATACGTTATTTTATATTCAGTATATTTTAAAAAAGGAAACAAAATATTGTCGAGTTACCTTATATTTTTAAAATTTAAAGATAAAAATAATAGTAGTTGCAAAAAAAAAATGTTTTTAATACTATTAGTAAAATAAATTTATTTTAATATTGTTATCAAAATCTTAAACCTTAAAATCTTATGTACATCATAAACCTTTGAATAATCTTTGATTTTTTTAAAAGAAAAATTATTTTTAATACCGTCAACAAAACACTAAACATAAATCCTAAATTATAAATCCTAAACTTTGTGTAAATCCTCAACCCTTGGAATAATCTCAAACCTTAGAATTTATGATTAATTTGAGAGTTTAGAGTTTATCCAAGGGTTTAGGGTTTAGGATTTAGGGTTTAGTATTTTGCTGACGGTATTTAAAATATTTTTTTAAACGTCAAAGATTTATCCTAAACTCTAAAGCCTTGGATAAATCTTCAATCCTTGGATTAATCTTAAACCCTAGGATTTATGATTAATCCAAAGGTTTAGAGTTTATCCAAGGGTTTAGGAATTAGGATTTAGTGTTTTACTGACAGTATTCAAAATATTATGTTAAAAATCAAGGATTTATCCAAGGGTTTAGGGTTTACAGAAGGGTTTTAAGGATTAAGGTTTACAGAAGGGTTTTAAGGATTAGGGTTTAGTGTTTTGATAATAGTATTAAAAAATTAGTTTTTTTGCAACTACTATTATTTTTTATTTATTTTTATCTTTAAATTTTAAAAATATAGTATAACTTAATAATATTTTGTTTTATTTTTTAAAAGATATTGAATATAAAACGTAACTTTATTGGTTGATGTACTGGGTAAACCCAAGAATTACTCAACTAAAATAGTTAAATTGAAACCAAATGATTGAATCTTTAATGGCCAACATGTAATGAGTAAAGTCGAGAATCCTGATCATACGGTTGTGGTTCAATCATGATTGATTTATATTTTTGTCATCGTTTCTTTGAAACAAATAAAAACTATTTTTTCTTTTCCATTTATCATTTAGTTGTTCGACTCATGTTGGCGTTAATATTTAAATTATATAATAAACGAAAATGTATAGCAGGCTATATAATGACAAAGGCAGGATAAGACTGTTTACCCCCATTTTGATGGAACCACTAGGCTTGAACTCATAGTCAATTATGTAGTCGTAGTTCCCAACGGTGGTCACGATTCTCGCTACAAGACTTACGTCCGGTCTAACCTCTGTAATCTATATATAAAAACAAAACTAATGTATATTAAATCATACAGTATAATCATTCTGGATGATAATTTAACAATGTAATATTTGTATTATTACTTCTAAGTTTGGGATCTCCGCTTCCGTATGTCTCCACATGATATCTCCAGCATATTTCTCAAAAATGCACATAACATTCGGAATTTTCGCAGGAGTTCCATCTTGACCTGCAAAAACCCCATCCATAAAAACTGCACCTGCTGGACAATCTCTGTATGGTTCAAGGGACACGGCACACTGGCCGCAACCGAAATCGCCACAATCAAGATAGGTGATGAAATACCAATCATCACTGGGATCCATATAAGGTATGAACATCTCCGACAAGTGGCCTTTATATAGAACTTGTCGATATTTTTTCACGTCCATGTCAAACATGGATGCAAGAGAGATTACTATACCGGCTCGAACGTCAAATGATATGTGAAACTCCCAATTCGCCCATCTATTCACCACCACATTTTATATAGTTTAGTAAGTGTTTAATAACTTCTGATTTAACTATTAAAAACTATAGATTTAATAGATCTATGCTTGCATCATATGGAAGACGCTAGTTTTTTACTGTTTTCTAGCTGTAGACAACTATTGTCAATATTCAAATTATATAGATAGCAAAAAGAAATCCTTAAATAAGAGTAGTTCCGAAGTTTGAAATCTGAAGTATCTGTGTGCGGTTAATTGGGGTGATCTTTACTTTTTACTCACGTAAATGTTAGAACCACACATGAAAGGATAAATAGAGATGTGATATATTTCCAAATAGAAAAAGTCAGACAAACTTACTGAGCATGGTTTACACAGAACTTTTAATTTTCAATTTTTTTTTCACACATGTTTCAGATGGTAACTAATACTCGCCTGCCCATATATTATTTTAGTAAAAATACTAAAATGAAAAGGTTGCCGACAGTTTTTTGTACTTTTATTTAAAGCTAAAAGAATAATTGACTAGTGCTTAAAATTTTATCGGCAAACTGGCTTGAAAATGAATTAGTGAAAGCAACATTCATGTTGTTATCATAATTATTTTAAAATATTACTGATGAAGTTATTACACTCAACATTTTTTCTTAAAAAGTTCTAAAGTTTCAGGTAAAAAATAAAATAATGTACGAACAGAAAACAAAAAAAAAACCAAAAACAAAAAGACAATTTATTCCTTTGTAAAAAACCATTCAGATAATATGACTATATATGCCCTCAAATTTGAACCTTTAGTTTCATATAGAGCATAGCAAAATCTTATCTTTAACGGTGTGTCTCCACAAAAGAGAGAGAGAGAGAAAGACCCATAAGACTCATAGTTTTTAATTATTACCTCACGACGTGTCCATCGATCTTGAATCCTGGACCGTCCGGCTGCATAAGGACGGCATTTTGAAGCGTCGGGCCAAAGGGCGGCTTAAGTTCCGAGATACGGTACTCCGTTCCGTTAGCCTTCGGCATAATAACCGTTAACCTATCCTTAAACTCCGATACCTTCATCACGTCAAGGTTAACGAGTATCGTCATTCCTTCAATAGGTCTAAGATACATATTAACGGTCCCGTCAAGATAAAACGGCATCATTCTAATAACCCTCTCCGTCTCTGCCTCACTCTCACCATACCAGCCAATTGTTGACGTCGTGAACACAATCTCCGAAGCGTTTAAACCACGTTTTCTGACCGCGTCAAGAAACGGCTTGAAGTTTAGAACAAGCTCCGTGGCTGCTTCTTGCTCGTCGTTTGTGAGCATAGGGTAACCATTGCCTACGTGGATCTTGTCCGAGACGATGGCTCGAGAGAAAAAGTCAACGACAATCTCCCGAGACTTTCCGTTGTCCCGAGCGATGACGAATGCCTGACGTGGCGGTGGTTTGATGGTGTGTTTCGGTGATGAGTACCAAGACAAGACTTGAGATTTGTCGGGTTCGTTGAGACCAACATATTGAAAAGTAAACTTGTGGTTGGGGCCAATGGGATACGAATTGTTGATGATGGTTCGTACGAGTTTAAGTTCTGTTTCAGATAAGGGATCAAATGGGTGACGCTGTGGAGCGAAGCTTGACGATGAGGTTGCGAAAATGAAAGAAAAGAAGATGAAAATGGTGAAGTAAAGTGGAGCCATATTGTTATTTTCTTAAAACTGTTATTGTTTCATTTAATGGACTTGGTTTATGTGTACATTTATAGGCAAATGTATGTCCGTAACGTGATTTAAACTTTTTGTTTACAAAAAAAACTATTTTTTTTTGAATATCATACACACTTAGGTTTTTAAATGGGAATTCGGCCAAAAAAACACGAATTATGTGATTTGAAAATAAAAACAAATAGAATCTTGGATTCAAACTTGGGTTGATTGGAATAAATGGCAAGGTACTTTACCACTAGGTTATTGACACTTTCAATGTATTTACTAACACAGTTAATTTTATTTGGTACTGATTGAATATAAAAAAAAAATTCTCTAAACACTTAAAAAATCTTTGAAATTTCAAAAAAAAAAAACTGAAAATAAAGAAATTTTTAATAAAATTAATTTGAAATTAAAATTAAAATTAAAATAAAATTTTATTTTTTCTTAATAAAAATAAAAACAATATTCCATAATTTCAATTTAAAAAAAAACAAAATTGGTAAAAAATGAAATTAATTATACACACATAAAAAGATACCCACATATTAAAATTAAATTAAAATGTTTAAAGTAAATATTGTACCCATTATGAGTACAATTTTATTTTAGCTGATACATGTAACTTCAATTATTTTCTTTTTCTTTGAATTTTTAATTTTTTTGGAATTTAAAAAAAGTGGAAAATTTTGGAATATTTTTGATTTTTTAAAGAAAAAATAAAAAAAATTTAATTTTAATTTCAAAATTAATTTTAAAAAAATTCTTTATTTTTTCAGACCACGTTTTGCTTACTTTCTTTATTGAAGTTCGAATCCTTTTCAGAACGCCTGACATATGGGGTCGGGGACACTTGGCCAATAAAAGTCATAGCACGAGCTTAACGAGCTGGAATAATCTATTTTAACATTATAATCTACATTGTTTATATGATATGGTTACATTTTGACTAATATCAAAAGATTTCCTACCTACCGCGGAACCTTTTGGTTTGCGTGTACACAAGCACAGATCAATGAAAGTATTTTCCAAATCTTTTTTTTTTCTTATCAAAATCTATTTATTTATGTAATGTAGAAGGTTTTTCTTTAATATCAAAAGGTTAATTTATTATTCAAATTTGAGATGATTTAGATAATTAGACCGGAATATAACAACTAATGTAACGAAACTTTCTATAAAAAAAATTTGCAGTTTTAACTAAAAAATCTGACATTATAATTTGTACCCTTAAGATATAAATAATCTAAAAGCCAGGAAAACATATTTGCAGTGTTTTTATAGTCTTCATTTAAGTTGCAAAATTTAGCCAAGCTTGAGGATTCTTTATCATCACGATCAGATCCTTACAGTCTGTCCTAAAGTGCTGACATGGTGAAAGTTGTAGCATGTTTTCCATTGCCAAATACAGTAGTTCTACTTCTGAGTGTAAAGCAATATCTCGCCCCCTAAAGTTTCATGTTCTCATAAGCTGAACCTTTCCAAAACTATCCTGCCGTACCTGATCACATCCACTGAATTGATCTGTGGAGGTCCATGAACCATCCACCATGCTGATATTATCCAGGCTTATGATCTAGGTTTCGTCACTACTATGCTTATGTAGAATGAGATAAATCCACTCATTAGCATTAAACCAAGTTTGACATTCATTTTCTGAATATCAAATTAGTTTCAGAGGACCCCTGTCAATCCCTTTAAATAAATTATCATTCTGAACTTCCAGATTATCCAGGGATAAGAATCATTGCCTAATTCAAGTTCCACAATGTTGTTCTTTCTCCAGAAGTGGTAATCCACATTGGCATAGATACTTAATAACAAAAAAATGTCAAGACAGGAGGGTGCTGAGGATAGAGACAATACTTGTAAAGCAGGAAGACATTCAAATATGGCATACGCAACAGTTTCTTCTGCTTCCCCACATCTTGTGCAGTAGTTATCACATCTTATATTCATGTGGTTCAGATTCTCGTTCTAGCCACACGACATGTTATCAATTGTAACATAAGGTGACATATCTTCTGAGGAGCTTTAACTTTCCAAGAAAAGGCTTGGAGCTTGGTTACACTGGGATCATATATACCATTTCTTTCTCAGTGTTCAATAAGTTTCGGGCAAACTCAGTATCCAGATTTAACTGTGTATTGGCCATTCCTAGTGTTGTTTTAGCAGAAAGTGTATCGGTCATGAGTTTGGCTTATGGCCAGACTCCTTATGGAAGTCTTGGTTTGTGTAGAAGGTCTTCTGGTCGGAGTTGATTGATTGGTAAATGATTAAACCGAAAGATTGTCAAATATTTCCATAACTGACTCCAGTTTGGTTGGATATTTTCTTCAAGAATTCGCTTGATCCGGTGTGGTCTTTTGCTTCTAAGGATACTGTAGAGTGATTTTAGAAGCTGAAAAAAGTCTTCTGGTTGCCAGAATTGAGTTTTGTTTGATGTCAAACCCGAATCTTCTGTAAAAGGTAAGTGTAGAATTGGTTTGGCCGGCTTTGGAAATAAAGCCATAACTCCATATATCCATGGATTGTCTCCTCATTATGAGCTTTTTGGAAAGTTAATAGATCCATCTTGAATTCCATGATTTGATTTGGTTCGCTACGCTTCTTCTCCGGTAAATCAACTACTAAACGGGCTGGAGAACCTCTTGTTTGTAAAATTATCTTCTCGGTTTTCGGTTCTCCTCGTACCATCGGTGGTTTCTTCTTCCGCACCGGCTTTGAACTTCTGTTTGGATTCTTAGCTCGGGTACGCTATTTGTCTTGGTTGGAAGTTGTAAAAATTTAGCATTCAGGGTTTGAAGGCTCCTTTCTCTCAGTAGCTCGTGACAACTAATCGGTTTTTATCTAGTTCTCGGGTTGTGAGATCCGAGCCCGTCTCTCGATTTTATATTGTTTAACCGCTTGTCTTGTGTTGATATTAAACCGTTCCATTGTTATTTTGTTTAATTTTCGTTAACTCTGTTCTTCTTTGTTGATAACATCTGTCAAAAATGTAAAATTGGTATTATATATAATAGTTTACCAAAAAACTTTTTTCTCAAAATATATGTTTAGTGTAAATAAAAATCTGGTGAAATGATATTTTGGTTTCTACTTTCTCAGTTTTCAATTTTGAAACAAAATCTTCTGATATACCATGATTTTGACCCGCTTTTGGTCATATTTTCTATATGTTTTTATTATAATTATCTATGTTTTGGAGTCTATTAGGTATGTTTTCAGGTCCAGGAGCATTTTGTGGTAAAGTGATGATTTAGGTGCCTTTTGGTGCTTAAAGAAGAGTTTTCCAAGATGACTACGAAGATCCGATATAAGAGATACAAATCGATCGATACACACCCTGTGTAATCGATCGATGACGCTTCCGTAGAAGTTGAAGTCGAGATCCTCCGTCGATCGATGTACGCAATGTACCATCGATCGATACAGTGCGTGATGAGCAAGATTTATTTGGCCAACTTGGAGCCCAAGTTCTCACCAAATTACAAGACTGCCCCTGACGAGTTTTTAACCTAATTGTACTACCTATTTATAGCTATGCCTATGAGCCTTAAGAGATACAAAGTTTTGAACCAAGTTTTGTATTCTATTTTATACTTAGCAATAAAAAGCATTTTATTTTCTTCTTATTCTTTTGCTATGAATCTCTTGGCTATGTCTGAGTAGATTCATATGTTAGATTTGGGGTTCAAATAGTTATGAGGAATTAGCCCCAACTATGGATTGTTGAGTTGTTATATTCATTAACCAAATGAACCCTAACGCTTACTCTAGACTTGCTACCTAGAGTATTGATTATGGAGTGACTAATCTAATAGTCATCTTCCTGAAATCATTTGGCTAAACCCAGACTCTATTAAGGCACGATGTGACAGCCGGTCTGATAGAAATTCTCGGGTGAACAAAGTTCGATCTGATCTGATACTTAATATCGATCGATTCTCTTCTAGAGTTATCGATCGACGACAGCTTATATCGATCGACACTGCGATAGCAACATCGATCTATGCAGTCGGCAATCAGATCAATGGACGAGTCTAACTAGCAACAGCTATAGATTTGTCTAAGGGTTGAAGTTCTCATATATTTGCAAGCAATTAGTTAAGACATCCATAGATTTATAATCCTGATTTTCTGAATAGTAACCTTAAATCTAACTATTTTCCTTCATTGTTTTCAAAACCCAAAACCTATTCTCTTTAGCAACTTACCATTGCTACTTATTTTATTTACTGTTTTAAACCTTTTTCAACCTAGCTTAATCACTTAGGATTATATCTTTTGTGTCTCTAGTTCCTTGTGGATTCGATCCATAAGTACTACAATTGAACCTCTTTTGATGAGAGTAATTCACTCCTTAGGGTAATTTGAGTGATATCAAATTTGGCGCCGTTGCCGGGGAACTAGTTCACTATTAGATTTAATCTGATTCAGTCTAGGTTTTTTGTTATTTTATTTTTCCATCTTTTGACACAAAATCTTTTTCTTTTTCTTTTTGTCTCTTTCAGGTAAATGCCCAACAATACTAGAAGCAACAAGAACAAGCAGCTTTTGTACTCAGAAGATCCCAACAACCTAGAGCGTAGCATCCGTAAGGACATACACTCCGCATCGATCGATACCAATACCATCGTATCGACCGATACGCCCTTTCCACCGACGATCAAAAACCGTTCGTCAACCGATACCTTCACCACCTCATCGATTGACATCAACAACCGTTCGTCGACCGATACCATTCACTTGACATCGATCGATACACCACATCTGACATCGATCGATACACCACATCTGACATCGATCGATACTAACCGGCGAGACATGGTAGCGCCTATGATTCTCATACCCGATGAGAATGGAGACCTGCGTGATCAAGATGGTGACCTGCGAAATGCAGCAGGTAAGACGCTGAATGATCAGAAGGATATCATTATTGAAGAAGAGACTGCACCTACAAGCATCATTTAACCTGTAGAAGAGACCAGAACTTTGGCTGACTACAACCGCCCCGATCAGTTCTATTCAAACCGATCAGTCATCCTACCTCCTGCTATTCAGAGTTGAGATTTTGAGCTCAAGCCGCAGTACTACACACTTGTGGGTCAAATCCCTT